AAGCTAAGGCTCAGTTAGAATTAAAATTAGCTAGAGGTATTAAAGATAACAGGAAGGGATTCTACAGGTACATAGCAAATAAAAAACAGACTAGGGAGAATGTAGGCCCCCTCCAGAAGCTCTCAGGAGAACTGGCTACACAGGATTTGGAGAAGGCTGAGGTTCTGAATGACTTCTTTGCCTCGGTCTTCACTGCCAAAGGCTGCGACCAAACCACCCAAGTCTTGGAAGGCAGATGCAGGGACTGTGAGAATGAAGACCTTGGGCCCACTGTAGGAGAGGAACTGGTTCGAGACCATCTTAAAAATCTGAACGTGCACAAGTCCATGGGTCCTGATGAGATCCATCCGTGGGTACTGAAGGAGCTGGCGAATGAAGTTGTGAAGCAGCTGGCCATCATATTTGAGAAATCGTGGCAGTCAGATGAAGTTCCCGATGACTGGAAAAAGGGAAATATAACCCCCATTTCAAGAAGGGGAAAATGGATGACCTGGGGAATTACAGACCAGTCAGTCTCACCTCTGCGCCTGGCAAAATCTTGGAGCAGATTCTCCTGGCAAGCATGCTAAGGCACATGAAAAACAACAAGGTGCTTGGTGACAGCCAGCATGGCTTCACTAAGGGGAAATCCTGCCTGACCAATTTGGTGGCCTTCTATGATGGGGCTACAGAACTGATGGACAGGGGTAGAGCGGTTGATATCATCGACCTGGACTTGTGTAAAGCGTTCGACACTGTCCCACACGACATCCTTGTCTCTAAACTGGAGCGACATCAATTTGATGGATGGACCACTCTGTGGATAAAGAACTGGCTGGATGGCCGCACACAAAGAGTTGTGGTCAATGGCTCAGTGTCCGGCTGGAGACCAGTAACGAGTGGTGTCCCTCAGGGATCGGTGTTGGGACCGGTCTTGTTCAACATCTTCATCGCTGACATGGACAGTGGGATTGAGTGTGCCCTCAGCAAGTTTGCCGATGACACCAAGCTGTGTGGTTTGGTTGGTACACTGGAGGGAAGGAATGCCATCCAGAGGGACCTTAACACACTTGTGAGGTGGGCTGATGCCAACCTTATGAAGTTTAACCATGACAAGTGCAAGGTCCTGCACCTGGGTGGGAGCAATCCCAGGCACAGCTACAGGGTGGGCAGAGAAGAGATTCAGAGCAGCCCTGCGGAGAAGGACTTGGGGGTGCTGGCTGATGAGAAAATGAACATGAGCTGGCTTCAGGTGTGTGCTTGCAGCCCAGAAAGCCAACCGTATCCTGGGCTGCATCAAAAGGAGTGTGACCAGCAGGTCGAAGGAGGTGATCCTGCCCCTCTACTCTGCTCTTGTGAGACCTCACCTGGAGTATTGTGTGCAGTTCTGGTGTCCTCAGCATAAAAAGGGCATGGAACTGTTGGAACAAGTCCAGAGAAGGACCATGAGGATGATCAGGGGACTGGAGCACCTCCTGTATGAAGACAGGATGAGGAAGTTGGGGCTGTTCAGGCTGGAGAAGAGAAGGCTGCGTGGAGACCTCATAGCAGCCTTCCAGTATCTGAAGGGGGCCGATAGGGATGCTGGAGAGGGACTCTTCATTAGAGACTGTAGTGACAGGACAAGGGGTAATGGCTTAAAATTTAAACAGGGGAACTTTAGGTTGGATATAAGAAGGAAATTCTTTCCTGTTAGGGTGGTGAGGCACTGGAATGGGTTGCCCAGGGAGGCTGTGAATGCTCCATCCCTGGCAGTGCTCAAGGCCAGGTTGGACGAGGCCTTGGGTGATACGATTTAGCGTTAGGTGTCCCTGCCCATGGCAGGGGGGTTGGAACTAGATGATCTTAAGGTCCTTTCCAACCCTAACGATTCTATGATTCTATGATCTTCTACAGTACATTATATGAATAGTATAGAATCTCTTACTCCTTTCATATCTATTTTTCATTGAAAGAGGCAATAGACAGCTAGTGAAATGCCCTGTGAAATTAGAATCATGTTCATTGTTATCATGGTCTCAGAGTCAAAGATGCTGTTGCCATAAGGAGGTACGTGCTAACATGCTGACGCCTGCAGCTACTTTTAAGCCCATGCAGAGGACTCCTCTTTTTGGTTTAGGAATCCAGAAGCATTAGCTGGCAGGGTGTGTTCAGTCCTTCTAGGGTACCTTTGAATAATGTCTCACCATCCATCCTCCTTTTCAAATGTTCCAGCTCAGTGTATGAGAACTGTTTGGTCACTTACGTATGGTCTACCCAAACCACACCTACTACACATGCTGCTGGGACATCATTATTGATGACGCATTTAGTCGCATTCAATCCATCTGACTAAAGCCAAGAAGGTATACTATTTCATTATGAGCAGGTACACAGAATCCTGTCATGGCAGTTTTCCATAAGTGGAAATCTATGGCTGGTTGCATTTTCTATGCAGAATCTCTGACTTATTTATATAGGAGCACTGTAAGCATGGGAGTGCTGTGTCACTTTAATTTGGTGAAGAAGATACTTTCATGCTGATGCAATAGCTAAACTGCAAAAGCATATCAAATTTCAAGTTTATTTCTACCGATGAATGTGGAAGGCATAATGCGTTTTCTTCTTTAGCACATAATCTTTTGTTTTCCTTGGAGTCAGCAATACTTGAAGCCTGACAACGTAAGAAGAAAATCAGCCTGTAAACTAAATATCTTGTTTAGAACAGGGTACTAGTGAATGCTCAAATCCTGCAAGAGTTTTTGTAGCCTTGAATAGTTCAGGAGTAAACACTGATTGTTTTAGTGCATTGTATAGCACAAATGCACAAAATAGCATGAACAATGAAGTCCCTAAGATGCAATCTCATTTGCTACTGATTGCTTTGGGGAAATGATTGGCTTGGAATTCTGCTGAACTTTTCAGCACCCAAAGGAAGCTTTTTCAGACAGCCAGGTCCCTCTATCATGCTTCAAAATTCATCTCATTTCTGAGTGGCCAAAAGCTTTCATCAAATCAAGGGATGTTCAACAAATCTTTAGAGTTTTCTCCTGGATGCAAAATGATGCAACTTTAAGAATAGTTTCATGGCTTGTTGGAACATGTTTCAAATACAGAAGCTTTCTTTATTACAGTATTCTAGGGCATTCAACAGGAATGTTTTTTAATCATTCTTAATTTCTCAGGCTGCAATGCATTCAACCTCCCTATGTGGCTGGGCACTAGTCTGAACTGCAGCAGTGCAGTTGCCATGAGAAGCAATGGGGATGCTACCTTTGGCAACAAACGTAGGAAGTGCTGGGCCTACCAACTTTGCAGTCTGCAGTCAGCTTTTCTACCCTTTACTGGCATTATCATGTGTTAACTCCTCCAGAGCTCTGAGCCCTGCTTAGAATAAACACACATCAGAAACACCAAACTGGTGAAAAATGAATAATCAGGAAGGAAGCCAGTTTTTACTCAAGACTTCATGAACAGTTTTTATTGATATGTATTAATCAACATGTAGTATGTACTGTTTAAAGAGATTAAAAGCTGCCTCTTACATAAAAATACAATGTTCAGTTACAGATTTGTTTTCAGCCTGCTTCTGTAGGGCCACTAGAATAAAACCAGGAATGTATGAGACGGTATTTCTGAAAATTCTAATGTGAAAAAAACAATCATTCACCACTTGATATTAAAAAACGTAGCAAAGCAGAACAGAAGCAGTGCCCATCACTCAGTGCAGACGACTTTTATATTGAAATCATGGGAAGAAATTAATCATTGCTCTAAGTGGGGAGAACACAGCTGGGAGTGGCTGAATTGTGTCTGCAACCAAGGCAGGCTGAACAGCACTCTGTGAAGCAACTCAGCTGGATCCCTGGGCAGTGAGAGGCTGCTAACCACCAGCCTTTTAAAACACCACAGTAGTAAAAGCCCATCAAATACCTGCAAGAAGGTGTTTGGTCTCAGGCCTAGTGGGAATTTCCTCAGATTTCAAATAGTGGGGGCCATATGCCAAGATCCCTGCAGCACTGCTCAGCTTGAAAGTAAACAGCTGAATATATTTGGCACAGCATATATACTACTGCTGCTCAAGGAGTTTTTGTAAGGGTTTTGTATGGGCAAAGCCATCATAGCACTGGAATTAGGAAGAATTCCTTTTTATGTAAGTCAATATTCTTTTGATAAATCTCTGGAAAGCATGTATAGGGAAGATATGAATTGACAAAAAACCCCTTAAAATAGATAAACATGAAGATTTTTTTTTTTTTGTTTCAAGCAGAAATCCCCACTCCAGTCATCCATTTATGTAAGGGCAACACTTCTGAGTGTGGGATAGAGTAGGATGTGCTCTTCAGTGACTGTTTTTCTCCTTTTCCATATTAACATTTTTCAGTGATAATGTTGTCAATGTTGCAGTTACTGTAATAAACAGTCTTTGCCTCAAAGTAGTTAGGTTCAAAAATGCAGATTCACATTAGCAGCCTGGAGGTCACGCTGATGTGAAAAAGGCCAGGTTCAACATGCCAGAACATTTTGGTCTTTGACACCTGGCCATGTTGCAAATGATAATTAACTTGATCTTCAGGAATGGGATTACCAAAACATTACAGTGCTAAGCAGTACCAAGACATCTACTTCAGCAGCTGTTTCGCTGGCAGACTCCAGGGATAGCTTTTATCATTATCTTATAATAAGGTATTAATAGCAATCTCAGAGGAAACTGCTTGCTCTTTCTTGAAGAGGAATTATCAGTAACTGCAAAACTCTGTTTGTGGTTTTGTACAGGATGGAAACATTGGTGACAAGGAAAGAATTCCCTGGATCCTCCTCTGCAAGTGGAAAGTCACTCCTGCACTACATGCTTTCTTCCATAGAAAAAATCAGACGTTGAAAGTCCAATAATTGGTCAACAGAAAGCTGAAACCAAGACACTGGGCTTTGATAATACTTTTATATGAGGGATATTAAGAGGAATTTTTATTTTTGCAAGCTTAGATGAGAAAAAGCATTGATCCTGTATGAAATGATAGTGAGAGCCACTTACTCAGTGATGCTGCAATGAGTTCATTTTATTGCATAACAGAGGACAAATGAAGTACACTAATTGTAACAGAATGAGATCAAGTCATGAATCCCAGTCCTCTCTCAAAAGCACACAAGGCTATTCTTTCTCGTGTCTGCTACAGAAGTCCTTAGAATATTTCCGAGAAAAAAACATGTCTTTGTTCAAGGTTACAGCTCTTAAAATCTGTAATATCTGCATCTGGACTCTTTATAAAAATCAGTGTTTCTCAGAGCAGTGTGAAAACTTACCACCTAGGTTCGGTTTCTCCCAGGCACTGTGTACGTGTATATTGAAGCCTACCTGCCACTGGAAAAATCTATAGCAATGCAGGTTAGATGAGCAGGTGGTAACAGAAAAAAGGCTGCATGGAAGAATAAAAATTCAGAGAACCACAGATGCCTATTGCTGGCTGATTTCTTCAGGATTCTTAGGCCTACAAAAGACCTTTCAGATATTGATCCTTTTCCTTGGTATCAAAGAGATAAACAAGTGCACTGAAGTCTGTGGGAGCTGATGGATGCTATGAAAGGCTTTTCACAACAGCACTGGCAAAGTTGCCTGCCTGTTTCTTCTGCCAGAGGAAAGGATTGTATAGCTTCACTGTTGAAAGAAACAAAACAGCAAACAAACACTGAGCAATTCTTTTAACGTGAAATAAGTATTCGGGCTGCTCTTTCCTCCAGATGTAAAGAATCCCATTGTTTTTGTATGAAAAGCAGGTTCTGCATTGTTTAGGTTTGAAGAAAATAAGATGAAGCAATGTTTTTGTCAATAATTCTGAAGCTCTTACAATCCAAATGAAATCAAAGTTTCAATAGTGACATATAACAGTTAAATTTGCCTAGAATGGACATGAATTCTTCAAGATTTTCAGCACCCCAGAACACAAGGAAGAACCAGGGAGCATTTTTGACAAATTAGACCTGAACTAATAAGATAGAAGTGATTTGACATTGTTAAACTTGCCTTCTGTTAAGGGAAACATCTGTTTACTATAATAAAATCAATGATCAACTTCTATAAAGACAATTCAAATTCATTCAAAACTGTGCTGAGTTTTTATCACCCATAGTATAAACAGCCTATTAACATAAAAAGTAATACGTACATCTATATATCATGAAAAGATGCTGAGTCTTCCCATTTTCCTTTTCCATATTTCTTAAGGTTATTGGAGTAATTGTTTTGCTTTTCAATTAAAACAAACAAAAAGCCATCACAAAATAATTCCTTGTCTTTGAGCATCTAAATCCTTAAATTGGGTTACTTAGGACTTGAGCCAACAGGAGGGTTAAATGAAGCGCAATAGATAGCCAAGTAGTGTTTGCCCCTCAGATAACAGGCTGCTCATGCAGAGCTACAGGACTTCCATACAGCCTTTTTGCTAAAGCCATCTCTGACAGTGTGAAGAGGATACAAAATTCCACCAACAGATTTTTTAATCCATTTCACTCACCATTGCACAATCCTTGATTGCTGTATACCAGTGATATTATCCAAAGCAATGTTGGATTAGCACCCTGAACAACTCTTAATCTCTTCTGAGACTTACTCCTCAGCAGAGAGGTGAACTTGTTTCTACAGAGAGCCCTTTAGCTCTAGCTGTCCTGCCTTTTGTCAATAATTCTTATTGACATATTATTATTATAAATCTAATAATTTTGTCAATTCAAACACATTGACCCAGAGGCATGCGGCTGTTCTGGTTTGTCTGTGCTGGAGACCCCGAGGAGGATACATTTGACAGCACTGTCACCGGAGCCCGGCAGGGAAGTAGGCTAGGATGGATGGAAGGATTGCAGCACAATGCCCTTTCAAAGTCAGGTGAGTTCCTGTGGGGCTGCCAGCCCTTGCACCCCGCGCGATGCAGTGTTCTCGGGGCTGTGTGGTCACGCAGACTAAAGGCTAGACTTGACTGGTGTCAGCAGCAGGAAAAGGACTAAAGCCTTCTCCTCCCTTCCCCATTGATTAATCAGTGATATGTGAAGTACTTCCTGCACAAAGACAGCATACTATTGAAATAGTTGAAAGGCTGAAGTCTAAAGTGGGCAGAAGGTGCAATTTTTCTTGTTATCTGAGGTTGGCAGACACGTATTTTCAGATGAATCAACTCAGTTTACTAGGCGGAGAGACAAATCAAGTCCCTGGAGATTTATACCATGGGAAATGCCTTGGAAAGTGTTCCAAGTTGTCTTTTATAAAATAACAACACAGTTTTGAGCCAGCAGCTCCTCATCAAAGTATTGATCCCTTCCTGGCATGACAACATCTTGTTGAGATAATGACATAATGTTTCCAGTGGAGCCAAAGGCACCCCAGCCCCGCTCCAGACATGCTTGAGCAGACTGAAAAGAGCAATGAGATGCAGAGTGCTGATGAATGGTCCTTTGCCTTCAACAAAGGAGAACCTGAATGCAAACAAGGATTTATTAACATAAATGCTTCTTTCACATTTTGAAATCAGTGAAAACAAACACGCATGAGCTTCAAGCTGCAATCTGGCTTATAAAACACAACAGATTTCCTTAGCTAAGTTAGATACTGAAATGTTACTGACTGCTATTTCTCTACTATAATAATTTTCTCATTAACTTTTACTGGTTTTGAGCATACTGCCAATAATTAGCAATGAAATAAAGGGCATTTTCTTCTATTGTGCAGTGTGTAACAGACAGAAAATTGGAATACTCTAAAAAACTCATATAGCTGCTGCTGCGTGATTTATTCCTTCACTACTCCCATATGTTCACACTTCAACTGGCTAATTATATGTACTATGAAGAAATTTCCTGAGTTACTTTTTCCTTCGGAACAAGACTCTGATACAGACCCCCTCTCATGAACCATGTTACAGAAGGACCCAACTCTCCTGGCTTCTCAGTGAAGAGAGACAGACCACACTCCTAGACAGGAGTTTACATCTTAAATGAACCAAAGACTATGTAGAGGTGGCCTCCTCCTTCACCTACACAAACACAAGAAAGCTCATTTTTAAACACATCAGTTTAAATAAACTTGCTTCACTAAATTTCCTTTTACCACAAAGAAAGGCTCACTATTCTTTGTGATACTCCAACAAAACCACATTTTAATTGGCTTTTTATATAAGATTAAACATCTGTATCTAATGTGCATTCACATATATATATGCCATGTATAAATCAATGTAATGTAACTGTTTCACTGTTGCAGAGAGTTTAACAGATAAATAATAGTAAGAAATTAGAAAAGGAATAGCTTTGAGAGCAATTCATAGGTTGTGCAGCCCAAGGGACTGTTATGATCATCTTCTCTGATTTTCTACACAAAGAACATAGATTTTTCACACAGTAAAAGCCTCAATCAAGCTCAATGAACTGTAGCTGAAGTACAGCAAATTTTCAGCAATACATCCTGTCTTAATCTAAAGAACTAAATTTATGAGGAAGCTCCGACATCCCCTACCGAACCATTGCTTATCTTCACTCTTTAGACAGTATTTCTGCTTAGGTTTTTCTAGTATTAACTTCCAACCATTAAATCATGTTACAACTCTCCTACACTCTTTAATGACTGCAATTATTATTATTTGTAACTTTTAATTTTTACCACATACAAATGCAGAGCACCAGCGATTTTGAATTTGTAGAGCGTTATTAAGAATGTTGGCTAGCATTATCTGAGAACTGATACAAACAGAAGGGTACAATGTACAAATTAATATAAATCATAGACAACAAAGGTGGAATGGGATCAGATCGATATTAATAATATTAACAATTACAGTATTATTACTGTGGAAACAAGAATATAATATGAACTATGAATTTAAAGTTTTTGTCATGAAGTACTTATAAAACTTTCAGTATCAAAGTGTGTAAAAAAAATAGAAAAAGGTTCGTCTGGTAGAAACCTACCTGTTCTTCCCTCAGTTCCATTAGTCCAGTATAAAACACTATCTCCCTGAGCAGGTATCTCCTCTCACAAAACAAAGCCAAAAAAGATAAAACACAAAAGTTTTCAAGCTTCATTAGTATTTCAGTATTGCTCCTGTTCTCCAGCCCATGGCTGATTTTCAGTTAGAGAGATTTTTGAAAAATGATGCATAACATATTTATTTCCTCTGGCTACTTGTGAAGTCTTATTTTAATGACCATGCATACTAGAATTATTACCACTATACTTCACAATTTCAGTAGAAGAGATGAATCCTCTGAGCTCTTTCCATTTAAAATGGTTTTAACTTCTGAGGAGCTGCCTGTGATTGCCTTATCATTTTCTTTTCAAAAGCCAGGGACTCTCTGGTGCTTTTACATCAGTATTCTTAGTTCATTCCTTGCACTAAGATTGCCAGTCCTGAAACAACTGTCAAGACTATTCAATAGAAATGGCAAATTTTCATTCTGAGGTTTAGAAGCTAAGCTGTTCTTTCTTTTATTACTTTACAACATGATGCTACATGCTGTGTTATATAAGAAAGTGATATGAATAGCAAAATATTTTATTCTTACTTTGGAGTCTGAGTTTTCTCCCCTTAGCTGAAAAACTTGTACTATTTCTACCTTTGTTTCAAAAGTAACAAGGTCTAAATAGAAAAAAAATATGCAGGTTTTCCAATTCTACCAATGTTCTTATATTTGAGAAAACATTTACCATCTTCAGCTAATGACTACTTTCAATTACTTTAATTCTCTAACACAGTATACCTCTTGGATAATGAGCAACAATGCTTTAAAGCGAATATGTAAAATGCTTTGTCATTTATATCATATCTTTTCATCCAAATATTTGCAGTTACTCCCATTTTCTTTGCAATATAATTTTGCTTATATCTTGTTCTGCAACCTCTCAGCCCCTGTGTTGCTAAATCATAAACCCTTCCAACACTCTCACTAGTAAAACAAGTTGCTCAGCCAACAGCATTACTGCAGGAGCACTCAATAACTTCTTCCTACCAAAAGTCATGCTGGAAGGATCCTGTTACAAGAACTCCAACTGCAATATCTTAATTATACTCATCACTCATGTTTACATCTGCTCATATTCAAACAAGAGCATACACAAAACACAAAACCAGCAATAAAAATACAAGTAATAAAGAACAGTTAATGAGACCTGATACAGACATGCCTCTAAATTAGCAAATTCCATTCCTCTTCAAGAAAAACAAAACATGACTTTGATACAACTCACTTGACTTGAATGATAACTACGATGTATTATACTGAAGATATTTTTGGAAATGCTATCTATGCAACACACTGCAAGGCCAACTGTGAATTCATATTCTATCCTGTATTTGTCATTCACCTTACACTACCTGAACTCACTCTACCACTAATCCTTTTCTACAGAAATTGTATTAATAGGATTTCAATACTGAAAACAGGTGGAACGCTAAAAAAAGAAGGGAAGAAGGCTGTTTTCAGTTTAAGTGTACTTTTCAACTGCTATGCAGAGTAACTCAGAAATGGATTGTAAAGCAAACAGTGAAACTCAATTACCTTCTAATATATATTTGGATCAAAGAGAAATTAATTGAGAGTGAAATGGGGTTGAATAGCATAGTAAAGGCTTTGCTATCCTCCAGAACACCAAGGAAAACTAATCCCTCACACAGACGCAAATGACATGAAAAAGGAAGTAACAGTGTCTTTGAGGCACAAAGAGAACTCAGTGGTAGGCTTAAATAAGACAGAGATCCAAGGAGAAACCACAAAAAAAAAAAAATTCAAAAAATGCTGGTGATGGAGCTGGATGGTCACAGACAAGACTAAAGAAAAAAACCAAACCAACTAAATCTTGCAGCATTCAGTCATAATATTGTCAGAGGACAAATGTATGTTCTCAAGATAAACTGTAGATGCCAATTAACATACAGCTTGATGCATTCGAGCACCTGAAAATATCTGCTGAAGATAATCCATAAAAACGTCTGTGTAGTATCATGTTGCCATTCTTCTTACATGCATGGGGAGACTTAAAGATTCATTTCTAAATACCCTTTTTTTTTGAAAAATATAAGGAGCCATATGCACTGTCTTCGTGCTGAATAAGTTTTCTGAGAACAATGGAAAACACAGGCTAGCCAGAGAATGAACTAAAAGGAACATATCTTTTATAGACCTTTACAGGTCTGGAGGCTCAAAGATCAACATAAACATTCATCAGAGTTGTTACAAACCACAGGTCAGAGCAGTTTAGTATCAGCAGTCACAGAAGCAGCTGGATAACCAAGAAGTCAATAATGCTGAGAAATACTTCTCTCCACACCTGGTACATTTCCTGAAATTTGAAACTAAGTTGTCCGTCAGAACCAAAATGACCAAAACTGAGAAGCTGAGCCAAACACCTAAATCTGCTGTTAAATTCCTTCCTAGAGTTACAAGGCACTTAACCTGTAACTTGTTTCAGGTTTTCTCTCAAAAATTCAATAATACAAACTGACATGAAGAAAAAAAGTGAGGCCACTTAGCAAAATGAGTATGGATATTCTAAAAAGAAACCTGAGGGATCTGAGAGCCCTACTCACTCTCGTATTACATGCCAAAATCTAGTTTTGCACAGTTTTGTACTCCAGTTAATTACAGATGGTACTTTAAAAAAAACAAACCAATCCAAAAAGCCAGT